GTAAGTAAGTTCCTAACAAACTGGCCTGACTCGGTCAAATGAACCATATTATTCTGAGAGTATAGAGCAACCAGAATGTCACCTGTGTGGATACTTGTGATGCTCCGAGGATTCACCTGTGTTGTGTGGCCTGTCCGGGGGTAGGTGAACACAATGTCCCCTTCAGGTGTCAGGCACAAGACACGCTGGGAACCAGAGTCGGACACAAGAATGTTTCCTGTTCTTGTGGTGCAAAGAAAGTAAGGACTATTCAGGATCTTCGTTCCACTACAGAGTGGGCTCACTGACCTCAGTACGTTTCCTGTCATGTCACACCTTTAGATCCAGGACCAAAGGAGTCCAACAGTCCCTGGATCACAAAGCTTGGCTTGACGGCATCCGCCCATTCCACCACTGGTCTGTCAGGCTCAGACACTTTCGTCATGCTGCAGAATGGACAGAGAAGAGACTTGGCACTGATGGCTTCTGGTTTGGTTTTGGTGTAGTTGACGACACATTTCCGACAGAATGTGTGATAACAGACAAGCGTGCATGGATTGTCAAACACCTCTGTGCATATGGTGCATGTGAGGAAATGTTCCTCAAGTTTCTGGGACGTTGCCATCTACAAACAGAAAAAGTAAAAAACATTTGTGATAGCCACTGAGGGTCAATGGTCAGTTCCAATTGTTTATAGTAGAAATTAAGGCAATTGATGTTGCAGGATGGATGAAGTATAATTTTTAATGTTTGGATATATATCGTATTTTATCATTCAGGTGTGTTTAGCACAGGCTTATGAATAAAGTTTTGTATATGTTTTACTATTTATCTAAAACTCAACCTGGATCCATCAATTCTGAATTAAATTGAAATATTACGATTTCAATGGCTATTTTACGTAATACATTAGCTTAAGTTTCATGAATACATCAATAAACAAAAACCTAAATAATATCTTAGGGAATTGATGGCCAAAGTCCTCCTCATACTATATCGTCTCGCTGATAGTGCGCTGACCTGCTTATGAGTTAGACTCTTATCAATAGCTTTGAGCGATAAACAAACGCACACATAATTTAGTAGATATGATTACTAATAATGTATCAAAAATGGGTTCTAGACATAAATGTAGGTATAGTAGAGTTAAGGGTTATATCTCTGGGGTCAGTGTATCTATATGACAATAGACCTACGCGAGGTTATAGAAATGGAGCAAGTGTACGTAAAAACAGTTGACAAAAACAATGCACTGTGGTGTACGACACAATCGTGAGTGAGTGAGTCAACCAACATAACGGCAAAATTAGTAGTTTAATTTGAGTTCAATGACAGTGCATAAATCTCTATGCAGTAATGTGACTGAATCATGCCATTGTTAGCGTAAAATTATACATAAAACCAAGAAGATATGGATTGCATATCACCTCACCTTTCCTTCCTGGATTCACTATGGCGGTGAAGAGGGAGATTGAACCCCCTTGATGAATGGCTACAGGCCGAGATAATGAATGATGTTTCACAGCGTGAAATTACCATAACAAATCTAGTCTATAAACTGCAGGTATATTTTTGTAATAATAGAAAGAAAAATTCCAATGGAAGTGCCTTTGGTCTCTGTTTGAAACAAAATCATTCCGTTTAAAAAGTGCTATAAAAAGGTACATTGTTGATAAATTTACATTTTCAATAAACATATCACTTAAGTGAACATATTTTTCATCACTATAAAAAGATCCGCACACTTTGTGCCTGAGTTTGAGGCAAATGCCTAACTCTAGCTTTTGTACATTAAGTCATAGCATCAATACGCAAAATATAAAGACAGTTATGTATGGAAAGAGGTCCTTTGTCCACACATGTTCAAGATAGCCTTTGAACTGTAGCTCTTTACCATTAATCTCATCTTTATCTTGTGCGCTTTGAGCATGCTTTAGCATGGATATATGCGCGTAACAAATATGCTATTATTATTATTATTATTATTATTATTATTATTATTATTATTATTATTATTATTTTATCAATATTCAGCCATATCACTTCAGGGAGATGCCAGAAACACATCGTACCATCTGGGTAATCGAACCCGGGTCTTCTCCGTAATGACTCAACGCTTTAAACGCGAGGCTGCCCAGCTATCCTTGATGCTATGAAGGACTTTATTCTTGCATTTGCTTTTTACTCTCTTAAAGTGTGCACCTGTTAGGCTGTATGGTAGAGAAATGCAACTTCCCCCGTCTTACTAAGCAACTCAGCTGATAGCTTGTACTACACTGCCTGCTGATGTCTATAACTGACCAACATCTTTGTAAATGGCTGCAATAACAATTTACTGTAAGAATCAATTGCAATTGCTTCACTTCTGAGGTGTTTGATCATAGTGAGTGCCGAAGCCTGACACCATTTGTGATTATGTTTAACCCCCGAGTGGTAAGCCTTTTAATGGTTTTACTCTTAAATGGAAGCGGAACAAGAATATTGCTGCAAAATTAAGGATTGGGTCTAAATTATACTTTCTTAATGATAAAATGTGCACAGAAATGTATGGAATCAATAATAAAGCTGACCGGGAACAGTTGGGTAACTATTTCGCGGTATGATGTAAGGGAAGCAACTCCTACCGTCTTATTATGCCATCCAACCTGCTTTCGGCAAAATGAACGCCTTCAAATGTCAGTCTCTTAAACTGGTGTCCTTAAATGTAGGGTTTATTACTTAGCGACTAGTTAAGCAAGAAATGAGCTCACTCATTCTCGTTTGTGAAATATACTATTCACACTTTGCTAAGGATCAAATCATGGATTCAACAGAAAACTATGATGTTGGGTCCAATTTGGTTTAAATATCTAAGCTTATTGTAAGCATGGTTCCAAGGTTTCAGTATGCCATTGCATCTTGTGGATCCCATACCGACTATTGACAGGGGTTGTTTATTTGTCAATGACTCGTTCCATGATTTGCAAAATGGTTGATTGGTGCCATAAAAATCATTTGTATGGTTACTCATGGATCAAGTGCATAAGGTTAGAATAAAGAGGTTGTCTGAAGAGGGGTTACCATATTTGATTTATCCACTTTTAAATGGATACAATTTCAAATTATAAATTTACGTTTAAGTAAAGCTGTGAATTTTATTGATCCTTATCAAAGTGTGAGTACTATATATTGGATTTGTAATACGTAGAGGACCTTCCTATTTACACCTGGTGTCCCCCGCCGTGATATTGCTGGAATATTGCTAAAAGTGGCGTAAAACCAAACTTACTCACTCCTATTTACACTGCGTTGAATGATGCAAGGGAAGTAACTCTTCCGAGCAAATGCTAACCAACCCTGACTTCGCACCGCCCCTTCCTTCTTATGTCAATAACTAACATAAATCTGTTTACAGGACAGTTGGCAGAAAATTACAGAAACAAAAAATAGAAAGTGGTCAGATGAAACATGTTTTGTTTTTGGGATTACACTGACTCAGTAAAGAACAGAGTCTAGTATTTTTTGTGGGTTGAGTCCCATTCGAGATTCCAAGCCACACTCTCAGAATCAATCACCCTTAGAATCGTCAGTTCTCAAATTCATCGATCTTCCCTACTCAGCCACCGCGGCTCCCACAGAAAACGATGTTGGAGAACTGGTATTGTAGATGAAAGCATACACTAAGGAATGATTGTGTGTCAATCTTGGTATTATCATAGCTCCAACCGTTTCGCAACTAGGAACACCACGAAGGGGGGTGAAACATTGTAAAAATATTTGGAATCGAACTCCGGTCTTCAACGTGGTGGACGAAAACTTAACCACACGGCCATCACTACCTCAAGTGGTTGGGTGTTTTGATTGTGACCCAGCATACTGACAGTCAAAGAATATGTGTCAACCTTAGGACAATACAATATTTTCTCTCTTGCTTGTAGCTATTATGAGGTTAGGATTTTATGACTCGGACTGTATCCTAAAGAATGTTTTCTCATGCTATCAGTCATTCGTTCAGACTTGATGATCTACGGATCTTCCTGCTATTAATGGAGTGTCAATGCGTGCTGCTCAAAACAATACCCCAGGTACATCTCTGTATACACAGATATACACAGTACTTCTATTTATACAAAGGTACACTAAGGTGCCCTGGTACATAGTGAATACATCGTTGGCTTGTCACGCCGAAGATCGGGGTTCGATTCCCCAAAGGTACCAAGGTTCTTTGACACGTTTAAAGGATAGGAATCGTAGGAATCAATGCCATTCAATTCCTATTTATGGAAACCATTTCGGAAGAGACAGATCGTTAAGACGATTGTCTACCAGTATTTGAGTGATACAGAGTTCGCTTACATTATTGATTACTGTTTCAACGCATGACACATTATAACACAGGATATTAACTTGAATTGTTTCGTATGAACAAGTCCCTTCTGGAGGATGTTATAGGGATACTTAGGACATGTCAACATCATAGGGTGCCGAAAACACCTCACAATAACACAAATTTCTCTCTCCCTCTCCACTCTCTCATTCTCTCTTTCCCTCTCTCTCACTCTCTCTGCCTGCGTCTCGTTCCACTTCGTCTCTCTCTTTGTGCCTGTCTCTATCTCGTCTCTCTCTTCCTTACCTTCTCTCTCTCTTTCTCCATATACACATCGGTCCGTGAAGATCCGGGGTAGAATAGGTCTTCAGCAACCCATGCTTGCCACAAAAGGCGACTATGCTTGTCGTAAGAGGCGACTAACGGGATCGGGTGGTCATGCTCGCTTACTTGGTGGACCCAAGTCATCGGTTCCCAATTGCGCAGATCGATGCTCCTGCTGTTCATCACTGGATTGCCTGGTTCAGACTCGATTATGTACAGACCGCCGCCATATAGCTGCAATATTGCTGAGTGCGGCGTAAAACTAAACTCACTCACTCACTAACTCCATATATACATCTAACACATCTATGTATGTTAGGCTTATATGTATTTTAAATTATGCTATTTCAGTCATTATGTGTATTGAGACAATTCAAATACCAGCAGAAGATGAAGACTCAACATTGGTGTTTATTGTTGTCTGGCGTGTGATTTTTAACACATCTCATTTGGATCACATCTTGATGCTAACTGTATTCTAATGATATTGTTTCTAAGCCAAATGTACAAATACGTATTCGGAAAGCCAAATGTACACAAAGATATTCAGTTCCGTATGTGTGGAATGACGCACTCATAAAACGCTCATTTAACACATGACAACAGAGTACACTAAAATCAAGACATTAAACCAATCTATTAATGTTGATATGCGTCCATTAATATGATAGAATGTAGTAGTATGTTTCTGTGTTCAAACATACATTTGCAGTTATGCTGATATTTTCAAAATTAATTTCAGTGCCAGAAAGTGGAGACGTCTAGAAAATAATATCAGTAGTTAATAACTTAATCTTTGATTGTTGGCTGCGTACTTGTGATGGTAAGTTTGTTGGCAAGCAGAGAAGAAACTGTACTGGCTCGGAACAGCCTGTGTTAAAGTAGAGTATGTGTAGATGTCTACAAATCAATTATGGTCCATGTGCATCTGTCAAAGATTGTTGTTTGTTAATTACCACATTTACAGGTGGAATATGTTTTTTGTCTGAACCAGTTATCTGTTCTGTGTCGCTTTACTTGAATACCTTAATGTCACCGGAGAAGTAATTACAAACATACACATGGCCCCGTCCATCTGCACAAACTCCGTACGGACGACCGACACCGTCACTTGCTGTAATAAGATTCCTAACAAACTGGCCTGACTCAGACAGATGAACCACATTATTCTGAGGGTTGACAGCAACCCGAATGTCACCTGTGTGATGACCCAAGGATGCACCTGTGTTGTGTGTCCTGTCGGGGAGTAGGTGAACACAACGTCCCCTTCAGGTGTCAGGCACAAGACACGCTGGGAAACGTTGTCGGACACAAGAATGTTTCCTGTTCTTTTGACGCAGAGAAATCAAAGACTATTCAGGATCTTCGTTCCACCACAGAGTGGGCTGACTGACCTCAGCACGTTTCCTGTCATGTCCAGAATATCCACACACGGAGGAGACTCGGAACCTACTGCAGAATGATCGTTTGAATTTAGCAAGCCCGTAGAAAGCCATTTTTTTCTTGTAAGCCCGATAGGTTGCAAGGCTTTACACTTAGATAGTATACGAGCGCTTGACCAACCTTTTTTAGCACAATTATGCGTAAGCCCGGTTTTTTTTATAATGGTAGCTACGCCCCTGTTTAGTGAACATATTTGTGGTTACTATCAATAAACTCCGTACATGTTGTGCTCGAGTTTGAGGTAATGGCTAACTTTAGTTTTTATACGCTAACTCACAAGATCAATAAGTAAAATGATTTATCAATATTCAGCCATATCACGGCAGGGAGATACCAGAAACTGGTATAACACATTGTACTATCTGAGTAATAGAACCAAGTTCTTCTTCGTGATGACCCAACGCTTTAACCACGAGTTTACACTGCTATCCCTGATGATATGAAGGACCTTGTTCTAACCTCTTGTTTTGTTCCCTTAAAATGGGCACCTTTTGGGCTGTATGGTAGAGTCATGCAACTTTCCCATCTTACTAAGCTACACAAGCTGATCACTACACTGCCTGATGATGTCTATAGCTAACCAAGATATATGTTAATATCGAGTGTTAGGTATCTGATTTTGTGATTACTTTAAAAGCAAAAAGAAATAGTTTCAGTCTATTTCCTTTTCAACAGAAACTTACAGAAACACAGTTTGAATACACAATGCCATTCAGAAAGTGTTGTCTAACGATTACACTTTCTCAGTAAAGAAAAGATTCTAATATTTTGTGGAGTACCATCCGAATTCCAAGCCACACTCTCAGAGTCAATCACCTAATGGCTAGCTCTAAAATGTATAACATTCTTACTTTCGCGGCTTCAACAAAAAATGTATCGAATCAATAATGAAGCTGACTTAGACCAAGAAGTTAACAGTTTGACGGTATGGTGTAAGGGAAGCAACTCTTACCGTCTTATTATGCCATCCCACCTGCTAGCTGCACACTAAAGGCATTCACATGTCAGTCTCTTTAACTGATCCCGATTATTTCCATGTCCTCAAATGGACGGAAAACTCACACTCTCAGAGTCATTCATCTAATGACTGCGGATTCCACAAAATATTGGAGTCTACAGACTGTCTAGATCACGTAGTTTGGGATGATTACACAAAGCCAGATACTCAGTAAGTAATTGTGTGTCAGTACTGCTTGTCTGTTTGGGTCAAATGATACCGATGGATCACAATCAAACACCAAATCGGTTCATGATCAAACATTCATTTCAACGCAGTGTGTGATGAAAACACCAGAACAACTATGCAAAAATTACAAACTATCATTATTTTGTTTGAAGTTTTAGGAGGGTAAAGTAACAGTGGTACTGTTGCAGGAACAGCCTCAAGGGAGGGGAGCACGTGCAATTGGGACGTCACATCAAGCATAGCCAATCGTTTTTATTAACACGGTACATGAGACAATGAAATTCACCTCTGACATTAGGCCCATTATTTTCAAAGTTTATGACTTTTTTAAGGCGAAAGTGAAAGGGGGTGCCTTAAATACTCCCTGGGTAAATTTGTTGAATGCTCTACATGTGCAGCTGATATGAAAGGGTTCACCCATTGTAAACATATTTCCAATCGAACTCCAGTCTTCAGCATGATGGGCGAACACTTAACCACCCCTACCTTAAATAGTTGGGAGTTTTGATTGTGACATACTATGTTTTAAATCGGTAAAATATACGTGTTAACCTTAGAACAATACAATGTATATTGTTTTCTCTCTGTGGGATTCTGGGAAACACAGTCCTTCCGCATCTCTTGTTTGTGGCTTTTAAGAGGATCGGATTGTGTGTCTCGGATTGATTCCCCCGATATGTCGCTCATGCTATCAATCATTGGTCTAGACTCGAGTATCTACAGGCCGCCCTCCTATACCTGGAGCGTCAATGAATGCGGCCCAAAACAACACACAAATGCCATCGCCATTTACTGCCTTCCCCTCACAAAGTTGAAAGTGTTAACTGTTCACTTCATATATGTCATGTGATGCATACGGTGGTGATTCAACGGTCTGTGCCCGTTTAGTTGTAAAAAGACTTAGAGGAGGCAAGTACGTTTAATTTGAAACTGCAACCTATAATTTAAGGTGGTGAAAATATTTCAAACATGCTTTTGTTTTTAGGACTTCTTTAAATATTCTTTAACCTTGGTAAGTATATATGACTGGACATGGAGATTATTCTGACCCAGAGTTTTACTATAAAACAATGCGCATATTATTGAACAAAAAGTGAAGGTTCGCCTCTTTCTCGTGTGTTACGTGTTGTAGTGTTTGTAGACATTGTTAAACAGCCTTGTGCTTGTATTGCAATGTTTCTAGTAAGATTCAGTTGAGGGTGGGTACTATAGTTACCATGACGATGTGCTGGTTACATGGTATCGTTTTGACAAATCTATAACCGGTATCAGTGTGGCAGTGTTTGTAGACATTGTTAAACAGCCTTGTGCTTGTATTGCAATGTTTCTAGTAAGATTCAGTTGAGGGTGGATACTATAGTTACCATGACGATGTGCTGGTTACATGGTATCGTTTTGACAAATCTATAACCGGTATCAGTGTGGCAGTGTTTGTAGACATTGTTAAACAGCCTTGTGCTTGTATTGCAATGTTTCTAGTAAGATTCAGTTGAGGGTGGGTACTATAGTTACCATGACGACGTGCTGGTTACATGGTATCGTTTTGACAAATCTATAATCAGTATCACGGGAAACCAGGTAGGATTCCCGATGTGCCGATGAGATGTAATTCTGTCACAGTGAACTACATGGTTTATATTACTGTCGCCTCTACTTGGCCACCAAAGACAATAAAGAATTTGTTATCCATGAACATGTTTACATTGCGACTTAGTGAGGCAGAGCAGACTTTGTGTCCTCAAGTAGTCGACAGGTCTGTTAAATGCACCAGTCTCTTATGATAGCGACAGTTAGTATCGTCATACTGAAATATCAAACACTACATTGGCACTCGTCTTTCACACATGTATTCAAGTACCTCTGGGTCAACTCAAATATATTTAGGTACCGACACGTGTTCTTTACACATATACCCAAGTGCCTCTGTGTGTACACAAATATATTAAGGTACCAGCAAGTCTACTTTACACATTTACTCAAGAAGGTGACTGGTCTGTTAAATGTGCCAATCCTTTTTGTTGTGACAGTTCAAGTGACCGGTAACATTGGAATACCTCTGCTCCGCCAGTTACTCTTAATAGATATACTCAAGTACCTCTCTGTATACTCAAACATATCCAGGTATTTCTGTGTACACTATATACACAAAGTATATTTATTTACACAAAGGCATCCCAGTACATTTATATACACAAAAGTACCTTGGTATCTTTGTATACACAAGTGTGCCCTGGTACATAGTGATTAAAGCAATTGCTTGTCACGCGGAAAGATCCGGGTTCGATTCACTTAACAGGAACAATGCGTGATGCCAATTTCAGGTGTCCCCGCCCGTCACATTGCTCGAAGTTTGCTACTACCGTCGTTACACCTTATCTTGTGTACAAAGACTGCTTTTGTACCGCTACATAGAGATACCACGGGCAGCTTTCTGTACAAGAAATTGTGTAGGTGATTCTATATACACTGAGTCTCTCTCTCTGCCCTGCTACCTTATATTTGTATACAAAGACTGCTTTTGTAGATAAACCTCTCTCTCCGCCCCTCTCTCTCTCTCTCTCTCTCTCTCTCTCTCTCTCTCTCTCTCTCTCTCTCTCTCTCTCTCTCTCTCTCTCTCTCTCTCTCCCTCTCTTTTCTCTCTCTCTCTCTCTCTCTCTCTCTTTCCCCTCTCTCTCTCTCTCTCTCTCTCTCTCTCTCTCTTTCCCCTCTCTCTCTCTCTTTCCCCTCTCTCTCTCTCTCTCTCTCTCTCTCTCTCTCTCTCTCTCTCTCTCTCTCTCTCACTCTCTCCTCTCTCCTCTCTCTCTCTCTCTCTTCGAATATCTGGTATCATCATTGTTTGGTATTCTATCACAGAACATTTGTACACAACATTCCGGTTGTAGCATATATTTCCTATTATTATGGACTTTGAATTGTCGGTTTTATTTGTAAAGTAGTGCTCAAAAGAAAATATACAGTGTGTTTGACCAAACTTGAACAGAAAAACAAACATATATAAATGAACAGTATTCAATTCTACAACACAATTTCATGCAAAGTCAAAAGTACCGTTTGACTGACACTGAAAGACCCGTGGTATCATAGTCTCAAATCTTACACAAATCAACGTTAATTCTGCAAAGTGTCCTCAAATGTTGAATCAGTAGTGAGTGTGGCCACCATTGGCTTCAATACACTCCAAAACACGTCGACGCATTGATGACGTAAGACGACGAATGACGTTAGGCGTGGTCCGTTGCCATTTCTGTTTGAGACATTGGCCCAGTTGTTGAGCGGTGACATGTGGCGCTAGTAGTCTTCTGATTTGTCCATTTAGGTAGTTCCATAAGTGTTCTTTACCTTTAGGAACTCATGCATAGTATAGTGCATAACATTAGCTCTCGTTCCATGTTTATGTAGCCCTTAATGATTGCTATTGATTCTCTTATTCGTTAAGTTTCGGTATTGATCTGCTCTCATATCCACAAGTCACTGAGGTTTTGCATTTAATGCAAAATAAATACTATGAGTTTTGCCTAATCTTTATACATGTATAAAGTATCTTCAAACAGTTGAGACAATCGTTGCATTTTTTTCTCATCTCCAACTTCAACCAGCAAGAGATGTTTTTTGACTCACGTAATTTATTTATCAACATGAATAGTACTCCATCTTCAGTTACTAAGGATAACAGGAACGAACTAAATTCTAATTTAGATTTAAACACATACCAACAGAGTGCACTAAAATCAAAACTTTAAACCAATCTTTTGATGTTGATATGCATCAATTGATGTAATAGATTTGTTCTGTGTTCAAACAAACATGTGCAATTAGATTGATATTTTCAAAATCAATTTCAGTGCCAGAAAGTGCAGACGTCTGGCACATAATATCAGTAGTTACTAAGTTAATCTCTGGATGTTGGATGCGTACTTGTGTTGTTGACAAGCAGAGAAGAAATTGTACTGGCTTGGAACAGTCTGTGTAAAAGTAGACTATGTGTACATGTCTACGGTCCTCTTATGATCCATGTGCACCAATCAAACTTTGTAGTGTACTAATCTTCACAGTATCAGGTGGAATATGGTTTGAGTATGAATCAGTTATCAATTCTGTGTTACTACATGTGAATACTTTGATGTTACCTGAGTAGAAATTACAAACATACACATGGTCACGTCCATCTGCACAAACACCGTGCGGATGATCGACACCGTCACCTGCTGTAAGTAAGTTCCTAACAAACTGGCCTGACTCAGTCAGATGAACCACATTATTCTGAGAGTTGAAAGCAACCAGAATGTCACCTGTGTTGGTACTTGTGATGCCCAGAGGATGCACCTGTGTTGTGTGTCCTGTCGGGGGGTAGGTGAACACAACGTTCCCTTCAGGTGTCAGGCACAAGACACAGTAAGTACACCAGTCGGACACAAGAATGTTTCCTGTTCTTGAGGTGCAGAGAAAGTAAGGACTATTCAGGATCTTCGTTCCACTAGAGAGTGGGCTGACTGACCTCAGCACGTTTCCTGTCATGTCCAGAATATCCACACACGGAGGAGACAGGGAACCTGCTGCGAATGTTGATGGGGTCAGGGATGTTATACCAAAGTACTGTTTGTTTGTTGTGATGGTTGACAGCAGCACCAGCTCAGGGTTGACTTCAACCGATATGATTGTTTTATTCTGAACGGTGACAGCCACTTGATTGTGTTGTAACTTTGTCAGACCCCACGGTTGACTATCCAGTCTGAGCTTGCTATGGCATAACTGATTATCTCTGGTATAGAAAGACTTTACACTCATGTTCCTTTTATCTGTGGTTACAACTGTATATGTACCATGTATCACTAGCGCTGTCACGTCAAGAGGCCTTGCATCATGTTGATCTCCTGCTACAGTGACGTCCATCGTGTCTCGTAACACAGGTGTAGCTGCCAGGTCCAACACACCCTCATACAGAACGTCTATCTCACCCAGCTGTAGATCGTCCACTGCTCTACTCAGCTTGTCCGAGTCCTGTCTGAACGTGATCCTGGCTATTCTTCCCTTCTCCTTCAAGTCTGTGTGTCCGACATCCTCCACATCACCAGCATCACATCCCTGATACATCTCATACACATCCATGTCACACTCAGATTGTAGAGTCTGGTCAATCAGCTCAGCCTGTTGTCGGTACATCTGTACTGATATCTCCCCTGACTTAATGTCGGCGTTCAACTGTTCAATATGCCTTTCTGAGATTTCTTTCAGTTCATCTAAAAGTTTATTTTCCTTAAGAGTGATTGTTTCCCTTGCCTTTCTTCCGGAAGACTTGATCTTCGATTCCATTTGGACATATCGATCTTTCTCAGTGATGACATTCGATTTAACTGTATCGACTTTCTTTTCAATCAGGATTTGTTTCTGTCGTAGGTTTTCCTTCTCATTCAGCAGCTTGGATTTTAAAGCAGGCAATTCCGACTCTAGTGTGACAACTGACTCACATTTTCTGTGATAGATAATACAACAGGTTTGGCAGGTGAGTTTCTTGCAATCTTTACACAGGAATTTGACGCATTCATCCTTGTGGTTATTACACATGATTTTTAGCTTCCGGGGGATATTCATCTCTCCAGAAAGATCAATTACGTCATGGTGACGAGTGGATGGCAGACGTTTGTGTATTCTAGCACACCGGTCACACATGGATTCGTCACACACCGAGCACCATACAGATGCAGGAGTTGTCTCCCCTTCTGCATGACACCAGGTGCAGTTTGTTGGATCTTGACGAAAACAAAAACAAAAACATTGAAAGAAATTCAGTATTTAATTGGCATATTTTAATTACCAAAACGAAGGAGTTCATAAAGATGAAAGGTTACTCTTATTGTCATCCTTTAAGTACCATATAAAACATGTCCTGATCTATGACGGATCTACCATTAAATATTCTAGGGTTGGTTGGCTGGATTATCAGATTATAATATTAGAGACCATGTAGTTTATCAGTCCCTGCTTCGAAACATGCAATTGCTTTTCAGGAGATCCTGGAAATCGAGAAATCGAACGTGGTATTTTTTGTTCAGGCAAAACCGGATAATAAATAATCCTTTCCAGACCAGCATTGTCCCTAGCATGTGTTTTGGGCAACTAATCCCATAAAATCCCTTGGAACAATTTGAAAGTAAAGGAAAAGAAAACATATCCCAGTTGCCATTTACAGACATTGAAGATAAAGATTTGACTGTATCAGAAAGTTGGGTGTGGGTTCTGAATTTGACAGGTGTTTCCGGTAGAGAAGAACATGCTTACTCGTTTGGCGAACACCTGGTGTCAACACTGATTTTTGCAGATAATATTTCCTTTAAACTAAAATCAATCTGACACACAACATTTAGAAGTAGTCCACAGACGATCCTGCTCATACCGCATATGCTGACGTGGTGGGGATGTGAAATAAAACACCCAAACCTCACCTTTAGATCCAGGACCAAAGGAGTCCAACAGTCCCTGGATGACAAAGCTTGGCTTGACATCATCCGCCCATTCCTCCACTGGTCTGTCAGGATCACACACTTTCGTCATCTTGCTGCAGAATGGACACAGAAGAGACTTGGCACTGATGGCTTCGGGTTTGGTTTTGGTGTAGTCGACGACACATTTCCGACAGAATGTGTGATAACACACAAGTGTGCACGGATTGTCAAACACCTCGGTGCATATGGTGCATGTGAGGAAATGTTCCTCCAGTTTCTGGGACGTTGCCATCTACAAACAGACTGATGGTCAATGGTCAGTTCAATATATATAGTATAAATTAAGAGAATACATGCTGCAAGATAAAGTAGAATTAACACAAAAGAACACGTTTACAGTTTTGAGATGTATCGTATTTCATCACTAATTTGCATTTAGTGTATACTTAGGAACACTTAGATCCAACAATACTCAATTAAATTAACAATAGCATACGATAGCAATAGTCTTTATGTACTCAATTAGGATTTGTTGGATGGATGCATCAATAAACAAAAATCCTGAAATAATATCATAGGGAATTGATGGTCAAAGTCCTCCTCATACTGGGACAGTCGTGTATCGTGGCGCTGATAGTGCGCTGACCTACTTTGGGGTTCTCATTTGCATAACGAAAGTAGAATTTTATAACACAGGATATTAACTTGAATTGTTTCGTATGAACAAGCCCCTTCTGGAGGATGTTATAGGAATACTTAGGACATGTCAACATCATAGGGAGCCGAAAACACCTCACAATAACACAATTTTCTCTCTCCCTCTCCACTCTCTCATTCTCTCGTTCCCCTCTCTCTCACTCTCTCTGCCTGCGTCTCGTTCCCCCTCGTCTCTCTCTTTGTGCCTGTCTCTATCTCGTCTCTCTCCTTCTCCATATATACATCGGTCCGTGAAGATCCGGGGTAGAATAGGTCTTCAGCAACACATGTTTGTGACAAACGTGTTCAGAAAGCCAAATGTACACAGTCGTGACAGTCGTGTATCGCCGCGCTGATAGTGCGCTGACCTACTTTTGGGTTCTCATTTGCATAACGAAAGTAGACTTTTATCAATAGCTTTGAGCGAAAACAAACCAGAAAATATTTCAATACATATGATTAAATTTCTCAAAAATGAGTTCTATATATACATGTAGGTATGATAGAGTTAAGGGTTATATCTCTGGAATCAGTGTATCTATATGACAACAGACGTACGTGAGGTTAGAGACGTGGATCAAGTGTACATAACGATAGTGGACAAAACAAGACGCGCCCGGGTGTACGACACGAATGTGAAGCTGAACCAACACAACGGCTGAATTAGTAGCTTAATTTGTCTTCATAGACTCTCTACATATCTCTTTGTAATAATGTGACTAAAGGATGTCATTATTAACGTTAAATTATATATAAAGCCAAGAAGATATCGACTGCATATCACCTCACCTTCACTTCCTCGATTCACTGGGCGGTGAAGAGGGAGATTGAACCCTGTGATATATGGTTTTTCAACCCGAGATAATGAATGGGGTTTCACAGCGTGGAATTAGCATCATAAATACTAGTATATAACTTGCAGATTTATGTTTGTAATGTAAGAAGGAAACACATGCAATGGAAGTGTCGTCGTCACTTGTACTTCAACAATTTGAAACAAACTCATTCTGTTTAAAAAGTGTTATAAGTAGATGCATTGTTGATAAACTTACATTTTCAATAATCATTTGACTTTAGTGTACATTTTTGTTGTTATTATCAATAAACTCCGTACATGTTGTGCCTGAGTTTGAGGTAATGACTAACTTTAGTTTTTTATACACTAACTCATAACATCAATAGGGGCGGTGGGGTAGCCTAGTGGTTAAAGCGTTGGCTCGTCACGCCGAAGACCCGGGTTCGAATCCCCACATGGGTAAAATGTGTGAAGCCCATTTCTGGTGTCCCCCGCCGTGATATTGCTGGAATATTGCTAAAAGCGGCGTAAAACCAAACTCAGTCAGTCAGTCAGTCAGTCATAACATCAATAAGTTGTGTTCTCTTAAAATGTGTACCTGTTATAGGCTATAGTCCTGAGTGGGTACGTAAGTCCCAACACTTTCAAAGTAAGATGTAAATTTACCACATTTTAATCGTAGTATTTTTGTTCTTTTAACTTCTCCTAAAAATTTTCCTACAATCGCCAGCGGCTGAAGGAATGGTGTAAATCCAGCTAGGGTCCATGCAGGTAGCAAAAGGTACCGTAAGTCCCCATGGTCCCTAGTATGGCGATCTACCTTCTGTTGTTGGCGATCTATAGCCTGTTTTTATATTGTATCGTGCCAATAGTGCTATTAGTTTTAAACTTTCTACGCTAGTTTTAATTCTAATTGTGATATTCTAGTTGTTTTACTGTCCTTCGTCGACAGGTTTTTATAATATACATATATTCCACTTCAAAATCAAATATGTTCTCGTCACGATATAGCTACAATATTGTCGATGTGACGTTAAATAATTACTCACTCACTATAGGCTATAGGGTAGATAAACTTTCCCCGTCTTACTAAGCAACTAAAGCTGATAGCTTTGACTACACTGTCTGCTGATGTCTACAACTAACCCAGATCTGTAAATGACTGCAATAACAATTTGCTAAGATTGAAACTGTGATTGCTTCATATCTCAGGAGTTTGATCGTAGTCAGTGCTGAAACCTGATGCTATTATTATTCTTAAATACGACGTTAAACCCCATTTCACCACACCTCACCTGCATCCTGGATGGAACTTGACCCCCAAAAGTAGTAGTGCATTTCTCTAAAATAGCAAATATTTAAACTGTATAGAATCCTGTTGTCAAAGAACACAAAATAACTGAAATATTAGTTCAAGGACTATTGATGAACAACACAAGCAAAAAGGGGGCAAGAGATCACTAGCAGCCACAGTTAGGTCACCATACTAGGACAATACTGACGTCAGCATTGTTCAGCCGTGAATGTTACACACCGAGGAGTAGTTGGTTGCTTGGTCTGTTATTGTTTTGTTTAACGCCGCACTCAGCAATATACCAGCTGTATGGTGTCAGTCTGTTAATAATTGAGTCTGGAACAGACAATCTAGTGATAGACAGCATCAGCATCGATCTACGCAATTGGGATACGATGACATGTGTCAACCAAGCATCTTTATATACTACTTTTAGCGAGTGAGTGAGCTGGGTTTGTCTCCTTACAGTATCATACAAGTTTTAACACGGAATGTCAAGGTAATATTGGAAGAAAGCACGAAATAATGCGGGACCTTGACTTTCATGAAACCCAAGACCTTGGATATGTTGCTGACAAATATAGAACCATAACCAGGAATCGAACCCACAGACGTGTCCATGGGGCGGAACCCTGCACAGAGCTTACGACTTAATAGACAACTGTCTGTCGTTGTACAAATGATCTTAGCGCTGAGGTACCGTAACTCCCATACCATAACACAGACTTATGACTGGCGTAAGGTTTAGGTTGTACAACGGCACTCTGGACCCCATCCCACAAAACGATCTTAGCGCTAAGATGATCGTAACTCCGATATCTTAACACAGACTTACGACAATCACTTTGTGGAACGGGCCCCTGGTCAGCTTGTTCCCCCTGATGCAGTGTTTTGATATTGATATTAATACTTAATATCAATCGATCAATAGTCATTGTGCTTATATCCAGTGTCCTTTACAATGCAGCTTTATAGCGAGAAAAATATGTAAAACATATTTATTTCTTTTCCATAAGCATTTGTTTCTGTCGTAGGTTTTCCTTCTCATTCATTAGCTTGGATTTAAAGCAAGCAATTCCGAATCAAGTGTGACAACTGACTCGCATTTTCTATGATAGATAATACAACAGGTTTGGCAGGTAGGTTTCTTGCAATCTTTGCACAGGAATTTGACACATTCATCTTTGTGTTCATTACACATGACTTTTCGCTTCCGGGGAATATTGACCTTGCCAGAAAGGTCAAGGACGTCATGATGACGAGTGGATGGGAAACGTTTGTGCATTCTAGAACATCGGTCACACAGGGCTTCGTCACACACTGAGCACCATACAGATGCAGAAGTTGTCTCCCTTTCTGCATGACAGCAGGTGCAGTTTGTTGTATCTTGAGGGAAAAACATAAAAGGAAAAAATTCCAAATTACAATAACGAAGGAGTTCACACAGAGAGCAAAGTTTACTTTTTGTCATCATTCTTCAAGTACCATATAAAACATGTCAAGGTGTGACTGATCCACCATTTACTATTCTAGGATTGGTTGGCTTGAATATCAGATTATAATATAGGTTCCTGCAACAATCCATGTAAATGCTTTTCAGGAGGGCAGGGGAATTTTCTGCAAAATCTGATCACAAACAATCTTTCTCAGAGCATCATTGTCTCTAGCATGTATTTATTTTAAATTACGCTTTAAAATCCTGACCACCCGCCATCCCCACCACCAACCACAGACACTCACCACACACCACACCTTAACATCTTAAAAGAAAAAGGTAACGACACATTCGGGCCCTACATATCCCAGTCCCATCTATAGACAGTGAAGGTAAATTCATGACTGCAGCAGAAAATTGTGGGATGCCGAAGTGTGGCGTCTGTATTACCGGTAGGGCTGAACATGCATTTCGCGAACACCTGGTGTCATCACTGATCTCTAGTAATCAATTTAGTGACTTACAAGATTTTCACAGATAATATGTGCTTTAAACCAAAAGGAATCTGACACAAAACACTTAAAAGTAGACGATCCTGTTTACATGGCATAAGCTAACGTGGTGGGGATGTGAGATAAACTACCAAACCTCACCTCTAGATCCAGGACCAAAGGAGTCCAACAGTCCCTGGATCACAAAGCTTGGCTTGACGTCATCCGCCCATTCCTCCACTGGTTTGTCAGGATCAGACACTTTCGTCATCTTGCTGCAGAATGGACACAGAAGAGACTTGGCACTGATGGCTTCGGGATTGGTTTGGTGTAGTTGACAACACATTTCCGACAGAATGTGTGATAACAACACCTCAGTACATATGGTGCATGTGAGGAAATGTTCCTCCAGTTTCCGGGACGTTGCCATCTAGAAACAGAAAAAGAAATACATTTGTGATACCCACTGAGGGTCAATGGTCAGTTCAAAATTGGGTATAGTAGATATTAAGGGAATAGATGTTTCAGGAGGGATGAAGTATAATGAACATAAAGAACATGTATAACGTTTGGATATATATCGTATTTCATCATTCAGGTGTGTTTAGCGCATGCTTATGAATAAAGCTTTGTATATGTTTTACTATATATCTAAAACTCAACTTGGATCCATCAATTCTGAATTAAATTGAAATATTACGATTTAAATGGCTATTTTCCGTAATGCATTAGCTTATGTTTCATGAATTCATCAATAAAGAAAAACCTGTAATAATATCTTAGGGAATTGATGGCCAAAGTCCTCCTCATACTATATCGTCTCGCTGATAGTGCGCTGACCTGCTTATGAGTTCTCATTTACATAACGAAATTAGACTTTTATCAATAGCTTTGAGCGATAAACAAAAGCATACAATATTCAATAGATATGATTACTAATAATGTATTAAAAATGGGTTCTATACATAAATGTAGGTATAGTAGAGTTAAGGGTTATATCCCTGGAGTCAGTGTATCTATATGACAATAGACCTACGCGAGGTTATAGAAGTGGAGCAAGTGTACGTAAAACAGTTGACAAAAACAAGACGCACTGTGTTGTACGACACGAACGTGAGTGAGTGAATGAGTCAGCCAACATAACGGCAGAACTAGTAGTTTAATTTGAGTTCAATGACAGTGCATAAATCTCTGTGCAGTAATGTGACTGAAGCATGCCATTGTTAGCGTAAAATTATACATAAAACCAAGAAGATATGTATTGCATATCACCTCACCTTTCCTTCCTGGATTCACTATGGCGGTGCAGAGAGATTGAAGCCCGTGATGAATGGCTACAGACCGAGATAATGAATGTTTCACAACGTGAAATTACCATAACAAATCTAGTCTATAAACTGCAGGTATATTGTTGTAATGAAAGAAGGAAATAATTCCAATGGAAGTGCCTTCGGTCCCTGTTTGAAACAAACTCATTCTGTTTAAAAAGTGTTATAAAAAGGTACATTGTTGATAAATTTACATTTTCAATAAACATATCACTTAAGTCAACATATTTTTCATCACTATGAAAAGATCCGTACACTTTGTGTCTGAGTTTGAGGCAAATGACTAACTCTAGTTTTTGTACACTACAAGTACAAGTCATAACATCAATACGTAAAATGATTTTATCAATATCTTTTTTTTTTTTATTTATTTATTATTATAGGATATTTAAATAGCGCACATATCCACGCATGCTCAAGCCGATGGTATTTTTTCCCTCGATCATTGGATGTAGATTTCAACGGCACATCGTATTCGCAATCTCAACTCCCTGGGGAGCATACAACTCTTGCAGCCACTAGGCGCACCGAGTTATTGGCTTTCTCTTCCTAACGAGGTACCCATTCACAGCTGGGTGGACTGGGACACATAGTCACAGTATGTATACACTTGTCCATGTTCACTGCACGTTGCTGTACCCGCAACTTGGTGTTTGCACGTATTCATGTGGCCACCATCTTGTCAAATATCAACGGATACGTGGGTTCTTTTAAGTGCACAGGGTTGTGTACTGTACACTAGGGGTTGTGACAACACTGAAAGGGTCTGCACACAAAGTTGACTCCAAGGTTTTTACACCAGGTCACAGGTGGGCTCGATCCCGACACCTCAACCTCGCTGGATCACTAGCCTGGCGCCTTAGCCAGCTCGCCCACCGCGCCCCATTCATGGCAGGGAGATACCAGAAACACGTACTACCATCAGGGTAATCGAACCCGGGTCTTCTCCGTAATGACTCAACGCTTTGGCCTAGAGGCTGCCCAGCTATCCTTGGGACTTTGTTCTTGCACCTGCTTTTTTATCTCTTAGAATATGCACCTGTTAGGCTGTATGGTAGAGCAATGCAACTTTCCCCGTCTTACTAAGCAACTCAGCTGATAGCTTGTACTACACTGCCTGCTGATGTCTATAACTGACCAACATCTTTGTTAATGGCTGCAATAACAATTTACTGCAAGAATCAATTGCAATTGCTTCACTTCTGAGGTGTTTGATCGTAGTGAGTGCCGAAGCCTGACACCATTTGTGATTATGTTTAATCTCCGAGTGGTAACCTTTCTAATGTATTTACTCTTAAATGGAAGCGGATCAAGAATATTGCTGCAAAATTAACTGTCTTGACGTTAAAATGTGCACGGAAAGGTATCAAATCAATAATAAAAGCTATTTCGTGGTATAATGTAAGGGAAGCAACTCCTACCGTCTTATTATGCCATCCAACCTGCTTTCGACAAAATTAACCCCCTTCAAATGTCAGTCTCTTCAACTGGTGTCCTCAAATGTAGGGTTTATTACTTAGCGACTAGTTAAGCAAGAAACGAGTTCACTCATTCTCGTTTGTGAAATATACTATTCACACTTTGTTAAGGATCAAATCATGGATTCAACAGAAAACTATGATGTTGGGTCAAATTTGGATTAAATATCTAAGCTTATTGTAAGCATGGTTCCAAGGTTCCGGTATGCCATTGCATCTTGTGGATCAAATACCGGCTATTGACAGGGGTTGTTTATTTGTCAATGACTCGTTCCATGATTTGCAAAATGGTTGATTGGGGCCATGAAAACCATTTGTATGGTTACTCATGGATCAAGTGCATAAGGTTAGAATAAAGAGGTTGTCTGCCTAAAGAGGGGTTACCATATTTGATTTATCCACTTTTAAAATACAATTTCAAATTATAAATTTACGTTCAAATAAAGCTGTGAATTTTAATGATCCTTATCAAAGTGTGAGTAGTATATATTGGATTTGTAATACATAGAGGAACTTCCTATTTACACCTGGTGTCCCGCTCCGTGATATTGCTGGAATATTGCTAAAAGTGGCGTAAAACCAAACTCACTCACTCCCATTTACGCTGTGTTGACTGATGCAAGGGAAGTAACTCTTCCAAGCAAATGCCAACCAACCCGAACTCCGCACCGCCCCTTCCTTCTTATGTCAATAACTAACATAAATCTGTTTACAGGACAGTTGGCAGAAAATTACAGAAACAAAAAATAGGCAATGCCATTTAGAAAGTTGTCAGATGAAATGTTTTGTTTTTGGGATTACACTGACTCAGTAAAGAACAGATTCTAGCATTTTGTGGGTTGAGTTCTGTTCCACATTTTGAACCTCATTTTCCCAATGTGCCTTC